TTGATTTATCTAGATACAGATGTATCTAACAATAAAACATGACTAGATACATCTGTATGTAGAAAAATATATGACAATAATTTTGGGACAAGGGGAGTAGTATATTAGTCAAAAAATATAAATATTGAATAAGAACCATAAGAAATACGATATTAAACTTCAGAAGGGTATTGATATTTTAGAAGGCATCAACATCCTAAATCTTAATCCCTGCTAACAATACATGGAACGCCACACTAAGTATAAAAGGGAGAATACCATTGAGATATCATTGTGGGGCTGGATTACCCAACATATGCCACGGTGTGTTAATAGATCACTGCATATGTAGTGTACCTACTTAATGATCTTGGTATTTCATGGTTATTGTGAATCTACAAGGAGACATAGCTATCTAACTAAGGTTGCATTAGTAATATGCCCTTTAATTTGATGGATTTGTTATGCATTTTTGTTATTAATGTGTAGTATAGATAAGGTAGATGTACATGCTTTGTTTTAATCCATCAACTGCTAGTGAAGCCCATGGTTGTTTTACTTTGTTAAAACCGCAAAATAATGTCACACTTAAAGATGTCTATTTTATTAGATCAAAAAAATATAAAGGTCTTTCTCTTGCAAATTTAATAATGTGCTCGTTGAAATAGCACTACACCATCAACAATTGCTAGGTGCGTTGTGGACATAAGAGAATTTGTTTATCATTATTGTAGTGTTGCTTGGGGGAAACTTAACACCGTCATGTGACACTCATAGACTAATAAATCTTAAGTTCTTCACCTAAGTTTTTTTTCTAAGTCCCTATGCAACTAATGGTTGAAAATAAATTTAAATGAAGTAGCTAAACAGATGCATAAGTAGAACTACACATGAGTTAATACTTCTAAATTTTTCCCTTTCCTAATATTCGGATTTTAACCTTCTTTTTTGCAGGGAAACTTTCAATCTATTCATCTTCAATCATGGCAATACAACGAACACCATTACATCCAGATCCATAGACCAGCTAGCGACGACTACAAGCACTGAAGTGAGGCGAAGGCGCGCCGCCTTCATCGCCCCTCCCTCGTTGGAGCCGGGCAAAACTTTTTGTAGTAAACAGTCGGAAAGTTGTCGTGCTAATACCCCATAGGACCAACGCACCAGAACAGCAACCATCGTCATTAAATAGTTGCGTAGATCGGAAAGATCCAACCTGAAGACACACGAACGTAGACGAACTACGATCAGATTCGAGCAAATACACCCAGGACAGATCCACCTGCGACACACCGCCACACACCCACTGACGATGCTAGACGCACCACGGGGACGAGGGCTAGTCGAGGAGAACCTTATTCCATCAGGGAGCTATCGTCGTCTCGTCTTGCTGAGCAGGACACAAACCCTAACAAAACTCGAAGGAGCATAAAAAAGGAGCCCTCCCGCCGGTAAGGGTCGTTATCCATCATGCCATCATGGCCCTAAGGCGACCGGAGACGAGGTGGGCCGGCGGCGGCGACGATGGGAGGCATAGAAACCCTAGTCCTTTTAGGGGAGGAGGCAACTGCGTTATGTGGCATTTCATGATTTCTCATATTTTTACAATTATCTATTAACTTATTTTCCATTTTTCCTGGTTTTTCACCATGTCTTGTTTCTTTTGATTTTTTCTATCTATTTTGATTTTTATTTTGTGGTAAAATAATCTTGTAAAGTTTGACTAAACACGAGTGCTAAAAAAAACCAACTACAAGCGGGTGGTTACTGGATTTTTTTTTTTTTTTTGCAAGGGGGTGGTTACTGGTTAATATAGGTGTTAATGGATCCAACCCACTCGAGATCAAAATTTTCAAGTTTGGCACATGTGTCTCTCACCAAGATTTCATCCTTTTTGTGGTAGGCATGCGGTGAATTTATGGGTCTTCAACACATGCGATTCTAGTCTTCGGTACAAGCCAAGTGTGTACATGTGTCTTGGCATGCACACACGTGTCTATATGACAATACTCGGTGTTTCTCAAAGAGCCGAAAAGAATACATGCTTGAAGAGTTTATGGTCAAAAATATATATTTTCTGGAGTAAACTATTTTTTTACTATTAGCCCAACCAAAGGGGAAAACATGTCGAGGCGAAGATGGCTTCAGAAAATAAATGCTTGCGGCCCGGTTCACTCCAATCAAGCTGACTTTAGCCAGCCCCATCCTATTTAATGCACCTTGATGTCCTCTTTTGAGAACTCATTGCACAATGCCAGACATTTTTGCCACGTGTGTGTGCCTTAGATCCAAATATTGTAAAATTAATATTTTTATGCGGAACGTTTTTATGTAGGAGTAAGTACGTTTTGATGTAGGAGTAAGTACAATATATTGAGACTAAAAATCTACCCTACTCCTACATAAAAACATTGAGACTAGAAATCTACTCCTACATAAAAATGTTCCGTACAAAAATATTGAAAACGAACACGGACGGTGGAACGAGGCACGTGACAGACACAAAACTAATAGACTTGATATTTCTTGTCGATCTCCATAACTCATAAAATAAGTTCATTTGTAAGTTTTAAAATAAGTTCATCAGTTGTACACATAATATACAAAATTATGACATCTGTGGTAAACAGCATTTTGGTAGTCGCCATCGTTTTAATTAAGAAAGTAAGCATGGTTGTTATGAGTTAACTTACTAATTAATTAGCACTCCATTGTTAATGCACATCTTAATCATGTAATATTGAGCTGCTGGCCACGTAAATATTGGAGTGCAACCTAGAAATTGTGCAATGAATGGGGCATATTCAAATAAGATTAATAGTACCAAGGTGTTGAGGATATATACGGTAGCCATAAACATTTTAAAAACTCGCCATGGAGTAGAAGTGATAGTATTGGTTAATTGGCACGCTTTGTTTTATAAGTTGACATGTTTTATTTGCCCTTCTATGTATTGCAGGTTTTTTTGTGCTAGCATGCTACTCTGACCAGTAAATGTCTGTGACTCACTCTTCAGAGCTTTCCTGTGTATTACAGAGATCAAAGAAAAGTCGAATCAACGTAAAGACATTGTAGGACAACCAGATGCCAGAAAAAAAGAGCAGGTTATTATTTTCAGATACACGACACTGAATATACTCCCTCTGTCAGCGAATAAGTGTACATCTAGCTCTTTTCCTAAGTCAAAGTTTTAAAATTTTGACCAATTTTAGAGAGAAGAGTAGTAGCATATATAACATCAAATCGGTACATTAGGAAACTACATTTCAAAACAAATATAGTGATACTAATTTAATGTCATAAATGCTTCTACTTTTTCCTATAAAGTTGGTCAAAGTTTTAAAACTTTAACTTACGACAAAAGCTAGATGTATACTTATTCACAGACGGAGGGAGTATGCATTATTATTACTATAGTACTGAAGATTTTTGAATACACGAGAATGAATATATGCATGATTATTATAGTGCTGAAGATTTCGAAATAGGCGAATACACGAGAATGAATATATGCATGATTATTATATTGCTGAAGATTTCCAAATAGGCGAATAAACGAGAATGAATATAAGCATGATTGTTTTCTAATACACATTAGTTAATATATGATGATGAATATATGCATTATTATTTTCGAATATACAACAATGAATATTTTCAAATGCACAACAATGAGTACTACAGGGCTAATATAATTAACCAGATATTGCCAGCGAAAAACAATTAATCAGATAAGCACATGGTGTGCATTTCTCATGGAAAAATATTCAAAAGTAAAGGTATATTTTTTCCATTTATTGTTTTTTATAGTACATAGACAAGGTGGATACTATGTATGCACAATTAACAATTTCTAATTACACCATATGGATATACACACATTTATCATTAGTAACAATTGTGTATGTGCAATGCAAGTTTGCACATCATACATCACATGCTGATCTAACTTATTATTGACCATACTCATCTTTTTACTAAGAAGAAAATGTTTAAGTTATCAAATCATAAAAAACACTATGAATTAATTTGATAGCCAAATAATAAATTTATTAGGTAGAATCATGAAAGTCACAAAACACATATAATGTGTTTAGAAATATCACACAAGAATCAATCTAAATCGTCTATCATGAATTAACAAGTCAAAAAAAAAAACTACTCAGACTAGTGCTAATTTTCAATGATCTAACTATCATGAGCCCATTAGATTAAAATTGGATTCTACTAACTCGTATATTTTTGTAGGTATATATTTCGCATTCCTTAACCAGATGCTGCACCACAATTTTCTGCTCATCTATGTAACTTTTTACTCCTCGATCGTGTACACAGAAAAATGATGTTTTGACGAATTTGACTGCCTATATCATTTTAAATACCTATCGTTTGTGAACCGGAGATAGTAACCTAGATGCAGCGATCAATTACCCAACAAAAGAAAAATCTTCCCATTTAATTCCTCACAATAAAAGGACACACCACACAACCAATACGAATCATTCAAAATCCATCCATAGCAAGATATAAAGCACAATTCACTCCACATTTTCAAGTGTGCTCATTTATGAGGGAAACAAAAATGGCAGATATCCTGAAGCAGCGAGGCACTATACCAAACCCATCACCAGATTCACTCGGCGGGTTACAATAATTCTGCTGACGGCCTGCAGCTGCTGTGTGGCTGCCCTGCGCCCCCTCCTCATTTTCGTGTGCATGCCTAGTATACATGTTGCTGTAACATGTGTCAAAGTCACGTCGCAGTGGGTTAGCTCAGCATTCTACTCCGGGTCAAACCTCAGTAGACAGTGTGGTAGCTAGCATTTCTCCTTCCCCCCAAGCCAGCCCGAGGCCACGCCACGGCTTATATATAGCGCTAGCCCCCACCCCCTCTTTTACCTCATCCGCTTAATTGCACCGGCCCGGTCCCTGCCTCCATCTGTGCCTAGCCAGCCAAGAAGATACTTTTCGTCACCAACCCGGCCGGCCACCGTGCGAGCTGAGAACGCGGCGGCGGCGCCATGGGGAGGCCTCCGTGCTGCGACAAGGTGGGCGTCAAGAAGGGGCCCTGGACGCCGGAGGAGGACCTCATGCTCGTCTCCTACATCCAGGAGCACGGCCCCGGGAACTGGCGCGCCGTGCCGACCAACACCGGTACGCACGGGATAGCGTAGGGGATCATGGATCGTCCGTGGATCGGGGCTCGATCTTGTGTGCAGGTGAATCGGAATTGGAACTAACAAAGCTTTGTTGATTTGGGGGCGTTGCAGGGCTGATGCGGTGTAGCAAGAGCTGCCGGCTTCGGTGGACCAACTACCTCCGGCCGGGGATCAAGCGCGGCAACTTCAACGACCAGGAGGAGAAGCTCATCGTCCACCTCCAGGCGCTCCTCGGCAACCGGTGATGATAGCTTCCATCTCATCTTCTCATGATTTCCGTCTTGTTGTTTGTTTGTTTCTTCCGTGGACGTAAAGTACAGAATTGCTGATATGAGCTTGCGGTTGACGCCATGCGCAGTTGGGCGGCGATAGCGTCCTACTTGCCCGAGAGGACGGATAACGACATCAAGAACTACTGGAACACCCACCTCAAGAAGAAGCTCAAGAAGATGCAGGACGCCGGAGGGAACGACGGCGGCTCGGAGGGCGCCGGCGCCGGGGGTGTCGGTGGTGGCGTCCCGAAGGCGGCCGCTCCCAAAGGGCAGTGGGAGCGCCGGCTGCAGACGGACATCCACACTGCGCGGCAGGCCCTGCGCGACGCGCTCTCTCTAGAGCCCTCACAGCCCGCCGCGCTGGCGGCGCCGGCGCTGCCGACGCCTAGTCCGGGGTCGGTGACGACGTACGCGTCGAGCGCGGACAACATCGCGCGCCTACTGGAGGGCTGGATGCGCCCCGGGAGCAGCAGCAAGGGGCCGGAGGCGTCGGGGTCGACGTCGTCCACTACGGCGACGACCCGCCAGCAGCCGCAGTGCTCCTGGGACGGCGCGGCGTCCGCGTCGGCGAGTCACAGCGGCGGCGCGGCCGGGGCGGCAGCAGCGCACACCCCCGAGGGCTCAACCGAGACGAGCAAGATGGCCGGCGCCGGGGCCGGCGGCGCCCCGCCGGCGTTCTCCATGCTTGAGAACTGGCTTCTTGACGACGGCATGGGCCACGGCGAGGCGGGACTCATGGACGACGTGGTGCCACTAGGGGACCCCAGTGAGTTCTTCTAAGTACGGCGCGCGCGTACCAACCGGGAATTGATCGACTAGAGCAAGAACAAAAATTTAAGAAAGGCGCGGCGATCGCCGATCGAGTAGCTGAGCAGAAACAACAAAAGGCCGGGGGGCTTCGAATCCTCGGTGATTTAGATCGAGCTGGGTGTCGATCCAGTTTGCTTAATCGTTTTAGATTTCAATTAGTTGCTCTTTGCGATGTTAATTAGGGTTTGAAACTGATCATGTCCTAAATGGATCGTGCAGGAGGGATAAAGAAAGAAATGTACATCTTATAAAAGAAAGATCTATATAGATGCTTAATTTATAATTACTTACTTATAGTATACTCTTTATATTAATTTTACCTCATTAGTCATTTCTCCCATCGAGCTGAAATAAATCATTTCGTATCTTGTTTTCATGTATTTGTTTCAAGTTTGATTGACACTGATCATATGCAGTTAAGTGGAGTTTAATTGATTTCCAACAATAATTTGTTTTCAAGATCAGATGCATCAAATGGACATGTTATCGGAAATTTTAGTTTTGGATAATTTGGTAAAGATAAGTTTAATATTATATAAAAAAATTGGTTCTTCCATGAGGTTCCCAAATGTAAAGCCAAGTCCCACAAAAAAAGTTCGGGTTAAACTGGGATCTCATTTGTGAATCATGCATGTTTGTAATTTCTGTAATATTTAACATATCAAAATGAGTGGAAGGCTTGAAGTTCCCAAATTTACATCTGGAAGAACCGCCACATTAAAATGGTACGCTAGTATATATGCTCAAATCTTTTCATATTTGACTCAACTAGACATAGAGCTGTCATGCATTTATTTGATGCCATTTAATGCTTGAAAATCACATGTTGTACTGGATCCTTTCTTTACTTCAGCTGATATATTGAATTCTTTTAGGGACATCGATAGTTAACATATACTATTGGATTTGATAATGTAGAAAATCACAGTTAAAC